AGTCCCGCCTCCAAGAGTACATGGGAAAATGTTCACTTTTGTCAAAAGGAACTTAACTTCCAGACTGTTACTATGCTACTTCGATTCCTGGAAGACTGCATGTTAGTCTTCAAAATCAGTAGTGTATCAAGATGACCAACATTCAAGGCTGATCTTATCATCCTGCAGAAAGTATCCAAAGGAGAATATAGACAGAAATAGATATCTTCTCTCAGGCCTTAGACAAACCCCATAGGAACACATAATAGAATAGCTCGCTTGGCCTCTCTCAGCTCCCTTGAGTTTTCTGCAGTATTTCTTTGTACAAACTCGGAAATTATGCTTCACAGACCAGAAAAAAACATGTTGGGTGAGTGATGGTGGGCAGGGGTGATGAGAACAAGTTTCTATGGGATCTAAGCCTTTCCCAGCATCCAACCAAATATCCCCAACATCAGAAAACATGAAGATCAACATCCAAACACAGGAATATTTAGACCATGGTGACACCCAGTGCACTGGGAACTGCCAACCCCAGTGCACTGGGAGTCACCATCTCTCTCCTAAAACCTATCTGTTCTTGTTTATTCATTCAGTCGCTTCTGACTCTTCATGACCTCATGGACCTGCCCTCGCCAGAGCTCCCTGTCAGCCGTTACCACCCCCAGTACCTTCAAGGTCAAGCCAGTCACTTCAAGGATACCAACCATCCATCCATCTTGCCCTTGATTGGCCCCTCTTCCTTTTTCCTTCCATTTTCCCCAGAATAATTGTTTTCTCTAAGCTTTCTGGCTTCTCATTATGTGGCCAAAGTACTTCATCTTTGCCTCTAATATCCTTCCCTCCAATGAGCAATCGGGCTTTATTTCCTGAAGTATGGACTGGTTGGAACTTCTTGCGATCCAAGGCACTCTCAGAACTTTCCTCCAACACCACAGTTCAAAAGCATCTATCTTCCATTACTCAGCCTTCCCTATGGCCCAGCTCTCATATCTGTATGTTACTATGGGGAATACCATTGCTTTAACTATGCAGATCTTGGTTGCCAGTGTGATGTCTCTACTCTTCACTATTTTATCAAGATTGGTAATTGCTCTCCCCCCAAGTAGTAAGTGTCTTCTGATTTCCTGGCTGCAGTCTACATCTGCAGTAATCTTTGCACCTAGAAATACAACCTATCTACTGTTAGATAAATGAGATATAAGAGGTGAATTAGAACTTAGAAACCAGTTATTTGGTTTCTGTAGCCTGGGAATCTGGAACTGAACAATGTTTTCCAGTCCAGGAAATTACTGCCACCTGAGCAGTTGTGTCTTGCTCCTGAATATTGTTGAGCTGTGTTTCAAATACCCGAACGTTTCTCTATCAGAGCTCATGCCTGAGTTTCATATATACAACTGAGATGTGCACTGTATGCCTGGCAGGGAAAAAAATCTGCATTGGTAAGAATTACATTCTGCCTAATCCATGACTGCAATATAGACCCTTACTGGCGTAGCTAGTTGATCCACTGCCACAGAGATGGCAAACACATAGTGGACCTGAGTAGCATTGCTCCCATAATGCTTTAAGTCTAATGGGAGCTGTGGAAACATTGAATTAGGGCCCATCCGGTTTGGAACAGCTTTAGGAGTTGCAGTGATATGATCTAGAGTGGATTTCCTACCCCTGTGACAGAGGAGACCCCAGCTGACCCTGACCAAACTGGAACTTGGTTCTAAGGCTGAAAATATTTTGCGACCTCTGAGTTAGACCAACCATATTTAGACCAGACCTTTCAAGTGGAAAAAATGGTGAAGAAATATGAGGAACAAATATTTTCTTCTCACTAGCATTCTGATGGCAAAAGTCCAGTAAGACTTTGGTTATGAGAGATGTTATGATATCTGAGTAGTTCATCCTTATTATTCATTTGCGTGTGCATAGGTTATACACCTCCCTCCAGTTAACCCAAAGAAACACGCAAACAAGCTGATTGGAGTGAAAATGGCCACAATTTGTTTATTGATTACAGGAATAAGGGTTGACAGCCCCAACAGCGGGAAACTTTCCCACCACCCAGGGGGCTTCTGGGAAGAAGCTGCCCCCTGGGCCCAGTGACAGTGAGGACACCCTGTGCTGCAACACGCTCAGCTCAGTAAGTTGGGCCAAGTCATTTGCCATAGGAGTGCTCTCTCAGCCTGCTTGGCTCTTTTAGGCTCTTTTTCAAAGGCATACAAAGTCAGCCCCATCTATTATTACAAAAAGATAAATAAACAAAAGGGGGGAAAATGCTACAAATGCAATAATAAATTTCAGCATTGTATTTTTGTAATATCATCTGGGCATTAACTGGAATTACTGCTGCTGATGGATGCTCACTGAGATATAGACCACAACTCTCTTTCATCTCCACACACAAACACTTTTTAGTCATCCATCAGTGTGCTAGTCTATAGCTTGTGCAATCCACAGTAGAAGATCCAAAAGCATAATAAGTGATCAATACTGAATAGCAGCAAGGAGATAAGATAGCTTTGTAGGAGATATCTGAAGAACCATTTGAGTCGATAAATGATCTAACTTGTTCTGCCTGTACTAATGCAAAGAAAGAATAGCAATAAATAAGTCTTAGTAACTGGCAGGGAAACATGTTTTTCCCAACAATGAAACTGTGCTGTATGAGAAAAATTATCTCATCTCATTGTGTATAACACTACTCTGAAAAACTGCATGAAAGAAAATTACATTATCACAATACTGTTTCTAATTAAGAAGAAAAGTTGTAAAATAAGACAGGGCAATTACTATCTGGTTACTGTTTGAAATATAATTGTGGGGTTCTTTTATCTCAGCAAACAATGAGCCTGTATTTTTTATTTAAAAAAGCAAGTGGTTTGCTATGCATTAATTCTTCAATTATCTTTATTCAAAGGCTGTTTTAAAGAGAATTGCTGACAACTGGTGTGCTTCTGGGATCAATAAAATACTGTATCTGTAGAGTGGTGTCTTTTCCTGAAACAGCAAATAAATAAACTAATTCCAGTTTGCATCACCATGTACCATACCTGAGCTATGCAGATTTATGAAATTGATTTCATGCATATTTGTGGCATGTACGTTAGCTTTAATGGAGTGATGGATCAATTAGTCATCCATATTAATATCTGTCTACACTGGCTAACCCGTATTCTAAAAATAAGCATCTGATATGAAAATTATGCACAAAATCAGTTTAGTACTTGAGCTAATTTGGGAGTTTAGGGCAGCAAATTAAACCATTAAATGGTCCAGCACAGACTTGAACTGATGATAAAATAGCCAGGTTGAATTGCACATGATCCCAATTCATTACACAATATGTACAGCAGTAGAATGAAATAGTCTGGGGTGGGGGAAGGCATGGAAAATGGAGCTGCAACTCATTGTTACTTATAATTAGAGAAAATCCATTGAATCAGTGGACACTGGTAAATCAACATTGCTTTAATAAGTCTATTCCTGTTGCAGGATTCAGACATTGGGGATGTCATGCTCAAAATTCATTATGGTAACTATGGAAACTATAGGATATTCAGTCTTGGCAATTGTCAGATTATTCCAAATTCTTTTCACATTGGTCGAAGTTCCCTCTACTTAATGTGTGAAATGGCCTTCAAGCATCTGCTGTACAAATATTCTCCAGGATAAACTGATTATTTACCATTTCTCCTACTTCCTCCCAGACAGAAGTGCTCAGATCTCCATACTCTGGGTTAGGCAGCATAATCCCCATAGAAAAATGTAAGTTTGATAGAATATATTGCTTCCAAAACAACTTTAGAAACTTTACAGTTGAGTGTGCATTTTCAAATATGTTCCTTGCAGTTTATGAACAATTCTGAGTTACTGCAAATATGAATCAGAGAATCATGGAGGTGGAAGACATTGCAAAGGCCAGCTAATGCAATTTCCTTCCATGCAACTAAAGCATTCCAAAATATAACCATCCAACCTCATTAAGATACCAAAAGCAGGTGTTGAGAGCAAAGGAATGCAAGCAGTTAGAAGAGCTTAGTGTTTATTTTTATTTGCCATATTTATATCCTGCCCTTCCCACCCCGAAGGGGACTCAGAGTGGCACACGTAAAGGCACAATTCAATATCATACAACACATACCTGGCAAATAAAACATATTCATTAAAACAACTGCTAAAAACATTTCAACATTAGGTAAAGGTAAAGGTTTTCCCCTGACATTAAGTTCAGTCATGTCCGACTCTGGGGTGTGGTGCTCATCTCCATTTCTAAGCCAAAGAGCTGACGTTGTCCGTCGACAACTCCAAGGTCATGTGGCCAGCATGACTGCATGGAGCACCGTTACCTTCCTGCCGGAGCGGTACCTATTGATCTACTCACATTTGCATGTTTTCGAACTGCTAGGTTGGCAGAAGGTGGGGCTAACAGCAGAAGCTTACGCCGCTCCCCAGATTCAAACCTGTGACCTTTCGGTCTACAGTTTAGCAGCTCAGTGATTTAACCCACTGTGCTACCGGGGTCTCCAACATCAAATAAAATCAAAACATTAAAATAATTTCAACATTAAAATTATTAAAATCACATAATCCAGTATTGTAGTCCAGGTCGTTCCAGTTATCATTGCACCATTCCATGTTCCCATATTGCGCTGCCTTGCTCTGAATCAACAACAGTTTCTAATAGTGAACCTCTATGATTAAAAAACCCCCCATAAGGCTGAGTTTTTGTGAGATTGTCTTTGCAAAGCCACTTCATAAAAAGTGCCCATACTCTGAAACCTCCCTCTCCACCGCAAGTGTGAATGCTTGTTCTGAAATTTGTGCTTGGCCATTTCTCTGGTGTATACATTTTACTCAATATGAAAGGAGATTTTGACACAGTGTGCATTCAGGCAGATATGCAGTACCCTCATTTAAGATGATTACCATTCAACAATTGGATGTTTGAACAATTTCTAATAATACCATCAACCAAGGGGGAAGGGATGTACAATTTAAGAACATGTTGTTTATTTTTAACTAACCTGGAATTGACTGGGGTGTTAACACCACTGCAGGAAGAGGCCTGGGGGCAGTTGCTGGCCTAGATAAAGCCACCGAGACCTGATTCGTCATAACAAGAGGCTTTTCATGTCCCTGGAAGATTGGTAGTTCCTCGGGATGTATCCATGCTGAATCCAGAGCAAAGGCGTTGTTTAAATAAATCTGTCCAAAACAGGAAGGAAAACAAAGCAAAATGAATTTGTGGTTCATGATATAATGCAACTGATTGCTAGAGTTTCTTGTTTTCTCTAACATCCGTTGGAACTTCCATTATCAGATTGCCTCTAGCTGTCCAGAGAGTTTCTAATTATTAGCATTATCTGTGCCTCCCGCAAGTGATCTGATAACACTATGTGCCTTAATAAACTGCATTGTCAGAATTGAGATACCTTCAAAACTTTGAAATTGAAGGTTATTGCATCAGCAAGGAGAGAAAAATAATTCTGAGAAACAACTGACAGTTATTTATTTATTTCAAACATTTGTACCCCGCCCTTCTCAACTCCCTGCGGGGGGGGGGGGGGGGGGGGACTCAGGGCGGCTTCCAGTTGCAACAATTCGATGCCACATAACAAAATACAAACAGCCAATAATTATAATAATTAAAACAACATACTTACAATCTACTAAACTATTACCAGTCTGGTGGCCACTATTTAGCCAAATTCTGTGATGGAGTACTCTATTTAACTTATCCATAATTCATTTCCAAGCCATTGTCAAAATTGTCATTTCCGCCTAATTACCCAAAGGCCTGGTCCCACATCCATGTTTTTACCTTCTTTCTAAAGGTGAGGAGGGATGACAATGCCCTAATTTCCCTGAGGATTGAATTCCTTAGGTGGGGGGCCACCACCAACAAGGCCCTGTCTCTCATCCCCTCCAAGTATGTTTGAGACAGAGGCAGGGCCAAAAACAAGGCCTCCACAGAAGATCTTAAACTCCGAGGTGGAACGTAGAAGGAGATACATTCAGACAGGTATGCTGGCCCGGAGCCATATAGGGTTTTATAGGTCAAAACCTGCACTTTGAATTGTGCTCAGAATTGGACACTTGGTGTTTTCTTGATATTTGTTTATGGATGGTTAAATCCAGCTGATTTTAGTTGCCAGATGAAGGTAGAAGAATGAGCTATAATAAAGCTTATTTAATTATATTATTGTTGTTGTTATTATTATTATTATATTTATTTATATGTTGCTTTTTCTTTCTGAAAAGAGACTCAATGCAGCTCTTTCAAGAGACTCAAAGACACGACATGTTGGGGAGAAATAGGAGAAACCTCTCATCTTCTTTGTTTTGACAATAATGGACTGTCTATTTTACAATGGATAATGATGGCTTATTTTTTGGAAGTCAAAGTTCAGATCATCCAGATCAAAAATCTATAGTGACATCATATGAAACTACTCAATTATTTTATATAAAGATCTACAAAAAGGTGTAATTATATTTCTTATGATTAATTTTGAATTCAAGGATGTTTTGCACAATTTAGGTAATATATGTAATATAGATCAAACAACACTTTTGTTGTTGATCTAGATCAAACAACACTTTTTACTAGAGCTATTCCTCAGTTAAAGAAAATGTAATCATGTAAGTGTCAATTTATCAATCAATATGTTAATTAGTAAACACTGCACATGGAGAAGATGCTTGGGTTGGTCCCTGTCAGAACAGACTATGAATGCAACCCATTCTGAATGAAGAAGCATAGTTTGCATTTAGATGGGTGTAGATATATCATAACAAGATCATAGAAGAGAAATCCCTACTGTCTGTGATTCAAGAGCCTAAAATCCCTTTGTATTTCTGCTTGGAGCACTGCAATCATAACTTGCAAAATGTTTAATACACTAATGTACATGAAATTACAATAGAAGGCTCTTTCCATTAAAATCAAAGGAACAAGTTAATTAAGGAAATAATTGTGAAGGTGAAGAAAAGGGCAACCAAAGTGATCAAAAGGATGGGGCACTTACCTATGAAAAAAGATTGGTATGTCTGAGGCTTTTTAGTTTAGAAGAATATTATAGAGAAAAAGGGATATTACAGAGATTAATAATACGTGAAGAAAGTAAAGATCCCCCTTTTTTTCTCTCTCTCATAATACTAATGTTCAAAATCATTCAATTGAAGTTGAGGGATGAGAATAGATGAATTTTAAGTATTGTTTTTCTCTGTACAGGAAGAATTATATCATATGTGCTGCCATGTTTAGGTTAAAGGTGAAGAGCCTATCACAAACAAGTGGTAGAAACACCAATATCACTGCCTACATAGTAACACATATACACATTTTAGAATCTGAGCACATTAGACCTTGTGCCAATTTGGACAAATGTATGAATTTTGGTTTCTACGATAGTCACTTTATTTTAAAAAAAGTTCTACTCACCCCAAATATGAACACTATTCCAAATGATTGTAACTTCTCACAGAAATGATTTTGTACTGTTCTAACCTTTCCACATACAGGAAATGAAAAACAATTCAATTCTGATCAGAATTGCCTTCAACAGCTAAGTTAGTCCATGACCTGTTATATATAGAATATTTTTAAGGCTGCTTGGTTTTGTTACAGATAGGAAACCAAACTATAATTATCCTTGAGTTCAACAGTACATATTTAGTTGGAAAAAAATTGTGTTCTGTTTTGGTTCCGGTTCAAGCCAGCAATTATTCAGTAGCCAATTGACCATACATGAACCACAAGTCCAATTCCAATTCACTTGAAAATATGCAAGTATAATGGTAAGATAAACAGTAGTAGTGGAATAAGCTATTTGTAATTACCGAAGCCCTATTTATATTCTAAAGTCTATACTATGTATGCCAATACATCAGCTGGATCTGGGACCATGTCATATACCACAGCCTTGGCACTGTATGTGTGACATGTCCCTTTCCATTGATATTCATACAATTTTTCATGAATATGTGTGGGACCAAATACAACTTGATATTATGGACATCATAAGAAGCAAAAAGACATGGTCAGACAAACAGAAGAAAATTAAAGAAAATTGGACTCCATTTAAAAGATGGTTACAGGTTGTTAAACCAGATGAAAGCTGGAAGAAAAAAAATGGATAGAATCGAAAAAAGGCTCATGTAATGGGAAAAGAAGAAAGAAGGATTGCATTGTCAACAGGGAAGAGGGAGGGGTGGGAGTGGGGAGGGAGAAGGGAATGAAAAAGTACAAAATGTATGGTAATTATGCTTATGTATAATTGTTTTACAACAACAATAAAAATGGGAAAAAATAAGATATTCATACATAGGAATTGTATGTTTGTAAAAAGAGGCCTCTGAACATCGGAGGTCTCTATGGGACCACAAAACACTACAATACTGAGTTTCCATTTAGGGTATAAAACCCTTAGACATAAGCAAAGGGATCTTATAGCAACTTCAAGACTAACTGAGAGAATGAAGTTGGTAACATAAGCTTTCATAGACTAAATCAGCTTCCTCAGATGCATGGAGTGAAGTGCCTAAAGACATACCTTTACAAGAAGACTGTTTTCTATGAACAGCCATAGAAATGCAAAGCTTGTGGATACTGGGTTGTTGTAGGTTTTTCTGGCTATATGGCCATGTTCTAGAAGCATTCTCTCCTGATGTTTTGCTTGCAAGCATCCTCAGAGGATGCTTGCCATAGATGCAGAGGATGCTTGCCATAGATGCAGGCGAAACGTCAGGAGAGAATGCTTCTAGAACATGGCCATATAGCCGGAAAAACCTACAACAACCTTGTGGATATTGTGATGAGATGGCAAGTTCAGTTTTAGGGATGGTCACTAGGGGGATAAAAACAGGAGAGAAGACACTGCCTACAGTCAAAATGAGTAGATCACTATATGAATGGTGAAGGGAGTTATTGGAATGTAGTGTGATGCTGGCTGGGATGCAGAAAGGAGATGTGAAGAATTGGCCAAGAATGCCCTCATGAGATTGGACTGTAAACTGATGTTATAATACAAGTATATGTATTGTGCCAGGAATCTACTGTTTCATAGACTGGAGTTTATGGATACATTCCCTTTCTACTGTTTGTCTTTCTCTTTTTTCTTCATTGTAGGTTTTAGTTCAGGGACGGCTATTACTTTGTTCAAGAACAGCTTCAGACAGCATAGTCATCTTGGCTTTAGGCAACAAACTCTTTTTTGTCTTTGTCCCCCAACAGCTATCAGTAATATTGAGCCTGTCACCTCATCACTTTGCCCACAAATTTTGCATTTCTATTGCTATTCACACATACCGCCTACTCATAAAAGTCTGTTCCCAGGCACTTTACTCCATCAATCTGAGAAAGTAGATTTAATCTACAAAGGTTTATGCCATCGACATAATTCTCTAGTTTCTAAATTGCTACAAAATTCCTTTATATACTAATATTCCAGACTAACATTGATATATCTTTGATTTCTTCACCATTGTCGATAGATTATCTATCTGGGAATCTATATAAATAAAAATGTAATGTTCGTTTGTGGGATTAATATAACTCAAAAACCACTGGACGAATTGACACCAAATTTGGACACAATACACCTATCAGGCCAACGAGTAACCATCACTCGTAAAAACACTGAAAAATGCAACAGAAGGGAGTTAAAAGGCAAAAAAGATGCTACACTGCATGTGCAAAAAATGACTCCTCCGGCAAACAAAACACACAATAGCATATCCACACTCTACTGCTCCCAGAATCCCCTAGACCAGGCTCTTTAGGAGAGGGGGGTGATCCAAATGCACTGCTTCCAAGATGCAAGCTTTCTTCTCCTTGGGTTTTTTTGAGAGCATCCCAATCCCTGCATATTTCCAATTTCCAATTCCTGGACTGCAACTACCAGCAATCCTCCAGATAGATAGATTAGATAGAGATACATAGTAGGTAGACAGATCAATCAGGACTGCTGGGAATTACAGTCCAAGAATAGGTAGAAAAGGAAGAGTGGGGAGAAAGAGGAAGGGAAAGAAAAGGGGAGAAGGAAGGGAAGAGGAAGAGAAGGAAGGAAGAGAAAAGGGGGAAAAAAGAGAAGGAAGGAGAGAGAAAAAGAAGGAGAGAAAGAGGGAGGGATGGTTGGCCACAGCAACATGTGGTGGGTACAGCTAGTTCACAATATTTTGAATGGCTGGGAAGGCAGACTTTCCAAGAAGGTTGTCATCTCTAAAGTGATTATTCCCCATGGACCACAGCCCTACACTTGTTATGTCTTAAACCTTTCTGGACCTGGGAGAAGTTGCACATTCTCCTAACATTAAACTGAAGGTCAACAGACAGCAGCCTTCTGCCTTCCCTGAGACTCTGCAGGACCATCTAGCAAAACAAACCCTTAATGTATAAACCTTTAAAGTTGGGGGATATAGGGGAAAGACTTCATTTCAAGTTAGAAACAACTTACCCTTCAGCACCAATCAATGACCACTCCTACATTTAGTGAGCATCAGGGCACATCTATAGTGTAGAATTACACTTTAACTGTGATCGGAGCATAGGAGTTGCAGTTTTAAAGGAGTTGCAGTATTCTCTGCCAAAGAGTGCTGGTACCTCACTGATCTAGAAATCATGGGATTCCACAACATTGAGCCCTAGCTGTTAAAGTTGTACCAAAATGCAGTAATTCTTCAGTGTAGATGTGCCCTATGTCAATATGCAACAAAAGCATACTAACTATTCTCTACAGTTAGATGACCTAATGGCCAACACCATGCAGATTGTCTTATAACATGGCGGAGCAAAGATCTGAGTTTTAACCTGAACTTATAGGAGATAAAATCCTCAGACAAATTTCTGTATGCTTAGTAGAATCCTAGTAGCATAGGATACACTCCTCATCACTACCTTCTGCTGCTGCCTCATCACTAGAATTGAAGGAAGAGTTTCATAACATCCAAGTCATCTTCTGCGTTAATATAATGTGGAAGGGGTTATATTACCTTTTGTTCAAGTACCTAAATACCCCAACCCAAATCAAAAACCAAAATGTTAGTTTACTTCTTACTATTATTAACTTTAATAAATTATTAGAATTATAATTCATGCATCATGCTGTAGGTAGTAACTATTAATAATTCATATTTCTGGCAATACTAAGAGATGGCATATTTATTTTAAATATTAAATTATCTTTTAATATTTAAATCTTTGAAATCAAAGTATTGGTGTGTCAGTACTGCTATACCAGACTGATATTGCCTGCATTTTCTTTCATATATATAACAAGTATGAGGGGAATGCTAAACATACCTTGCAGTTTGGTAGCCTCTTTTCTATCCATCTTTTTGCAGAATGGGGAGGAACAGTAGTTGTGTATACTTGAGGAAAAAGGGGAACAAACTCCACATTGGAAGAAGGTGAAAATCCTATCACAGGAGAATGGGCTCCAAACATCCACTGGAATAAAATGTTTAAAAAGAGAAGAATACAATCAAATAATTCATTCAATAGAAATGGTTGCATTTCATTGTTTAGCCTTTTAAACATGTACATTGCATATATTTGTATTTTCATGAATATACTAGGTCATATTCATATGGGGAAAGTGGAAGGCAAAAGGAAGAGGGGCCGACCAAGGGCAAGATGGATGGATAGCATCCTTGAAGTGACTGGACTGACCTTAAAGGAGCTGGGGGTGGTGACGGCCGACAGGGAGCTCTGGCGTGGGCTGGTCCATGAGGTCACAAAGAGTCGGAGACGACTGAACGAATGAACAACAACAACAACAACTAGGTCATTCTCTGTCTCTTAACTTTCCAATCAAAATGTGGAAAACTGTTTCTAAAAATGTAGAATTCAGAGGTTAATACTTCAACTACTGTACTCATATCTGTGTATGCAGCAACTTTATACAGTGGTTATGATACAAAGTGAGCCAAATGCATGTACACAAAGATATGTAATTTAAATTGAATAAGAATCACATCTAAGTAAAGATAAGATGGATTTAACTAAAATAGTGTGTGTCTAAAAGAAAGGTCTATCACAGGGTAGCATTCTTGCAACGACCTTGTTTAATATTTTTACTAATAATCAGCCACAACCACCACTCACAAAGAACTTTATGCACACTTGGCCTAACAACACAAACAAAGGACTTTGAAACAGTTGAAAACCAATTGACTAATGCCCTGAAAGATCTCTCCAGCTACTGCAAAAATAACCACCTGAAGCCTAACCCTGCCACGACAAAAGTGTGTGCTTTCCACCTACGTAGTGAGGAAGCCAACAGGAAACCGAAGGTTACCTAGGAAGACTAAGAGCTTGAACACTGTTCCCACCCGAAATATCTCAGTGTCACCTTAGATCAAACACTAACATTTAGGAAACACTGTGTGAATACCAAGAACAAAGTAGCTGCACGCAATAACATCCTGTGGAAACATACTAATAGTGCATGGGGTGCAAACCCAAAATTAATAAGAACATCACCCCTGGCCTTGTCTTACTCAACTGCTGAGTGTGCCTGCCCTATCTGGCATAAATCTGTCCATGTGAAGTAGGTGAGTATAGCACTAAATAAAACATGTAAGAATAATCACAAGATCTCTTAAACCTACGCTTGTTGATAGACTTATAAGCTAACTGGCATTCCCCCTGCCCAATGTATGATGGAAAGTTGCTGCCATTTGTGAGAAAAATTATTGACAAGCTGGAATGTGTCCAGAGGAGGGCGACTAAAATGATCAAGGGTCTGGAGAACAAGCCCTATGAGGAGCGGCTTAGGAACTGGGCATGTTTAGCCTGAAGAAGAGAAGGCTGAGAGGAGATATGATAGCCATGTATAAATATGTGAGAGGAAGCCACAGGGAGGAGGGAGCAATCTTGTTTTCTGCTTCCTTGGAGACTAGGACGCAGAACAATGGCTTCAAACTACAAGAGAGGAGATTCCATCTGAACATTAGGAAGAACTTCCTGACTGTGAGAGCCGTTCAGCAGTGGAACTCTCTGCCCCGGAGTGTGGTGGAGGCTCCTTCTTTGGAAGCTTTTAAACAGAGGCTGGATGGCCATCTGTCAGGGGTGATTTGAATGCAATATTCCTGCTTCTTGGCAGGGGGTTGGACTGGATGGCCCATGAGGTCTCTTCCAACTCTTTGATTCTATGATTCTATGATTCTATGATTTACAGCATTTTTGCCCCACCCTTCTCAACCCTGAAGGGGGACTCAGGGCAGCGAAGGGGGACTCAGGGTGGTTGAACACTGTGAAAGCAACCCACTGTATCGCTATCAGCCTCCTCTCAGTAGACTTAAATCAAGTAAATGTTTTATGAGAACCACCACCACCACTCTAAATGTTCCTCCAGTATCAGCAAGAATATCCCTGTGGGAAGCAAAATCAGGAAATTCCAACTGGATGCCCCCCAATGGGGGTCTGTCTCCAGGGGAAAACCAAGAATGGGCAACTTGGAAGTCCCTGAACAGATTCAGAAGTGGAATGGGCCGATCAAAAGACAACCTGGCAAAATGGAACTACCTAGAAGAATCCTCCACCTTGTGCAAATGTGGAACAGAACAAACAACTCAGCATCTGTATGCTTGCCCACAATGCCCTGCCTCATGCACAGAGGAAGAACTGTTTAAAGCTACAGACAATGCAGTCACTGTTGCCCTTTTTAGTCTAAAATCATTTCAATGCTTGTGCTCCTTTTATTTTATCAGTTGTATACTTATTTATTTATGCAATGCTTTGGACACAAAATAAATAAAATGTGTGTATACCTATGCTTTTGGGAAAATGGCCTGCCTTATTGGAATTCCATGTTTGATGGAATTTGGTGGAAACCTTACTACACGATGAGTCATCTTGATTCACTTTATCATGGCACCTCTCAGATTTAACACATTTCCTTCATATTCTATACTGCACTATACATCTCCTTGACGCTGCATGAATCTGAATACAGAATGCCATGGACATATTCATGGCAAACCACAGGACTTCACTGCTGTGATGTTCTGGGCTATTTCTCAGTGTTTGCATGATGCTACAGGTTATGTCCCTGCCCAGCTGTAGCTTTGGATCTTAAATGTCTGTTTTTCAGCATAGTGATATTCATGACAAGGCTGCTAGCAATCATACCAATTGTTTTAAACCAAGCCAGGTTAACACAAACAGCAGAAGTATACTATCACTTTAAGAAGAAAAAAATCCAAGAAATTTCACTTCTTCCAGCTTGCAGCAACTACTATATGCAGTTCTTCTGATTTTTTTTGCATAATTTTGGGAGGTGTGTATATATTGATCAGCAAATGAGAGATTAGATACTAGACAGATGTTTCTCTTGACCTCTTCGCCTACAGACGATTGTACTCCTTTGAAAAGGTATATACATACTAAAAAGTTTTTCTATACTTTAGTGTCACCCATGATTCTCCAAGTTAATACATTTTCATCCAGTCCCAGATTCTGGCCTTTAGCCATTACCATGTGCTGTTTTTCCTTACTACTATAAAATAAAAGATATAAGATCCCCTTCACATTAAGTCTAGTCATGTCCAACTCTGGGGGGTGGTGCTCTTCCCAATTTCTAAGCCAAAGAGTTTGTTGTCCATAGACATCTCCTAGGTTATGTGGCTGGCATGACTGCATGGCATGCCATTACCTTCCCGCTGAAGCTGTACCTATTGATCTACTCACATTTGCATGTTTTCGAACTGCTAGGTTGGCAGAAGCTGGGGCTAACAATGGGAGCTCAACCCGCGTGCAAATTCAAATTGCCAACCTCCCGGTCAGCAAGTTCAGCAGCTTAGTGGTTTAACTCACTGCACCACCACAACCCCTACTCAGGCATGTAGCCGCGGGGGGGGGGGGGCTTGAGGGGCTTCAGCCCCCCCCCCCCCGAAATTCTCATGGTGGTCCGCGAAAAGGCCTTACTGGTACATTATTTAAACTTATGTTTATTCATATCATGATCTGATCACCATGCTCAATATATCTCATATGCATGGGGGTATTGGGGTACCAATACAAAAGGTTTGCTAGGGTAGACCCTCTTTCATTCAGACTCAGCCCCCCCAATCAAACTTAGCCCCCCCCCCAGAATCAAAATCCTGGCTATGGGCCTGCCCCTACTATAAAATATTAGGGTGCATTTCCAGCTATTTAACTCAAAAACTAGAAAATAGCCAAAGAATGCAGAGGCCAGAAGTTGTAAACGAAACAGCATTAGATCTATGCCAGAAGCATTAAACACCATAATTAGCACAGTCAATAGAATCTGAAGCATGTGTTAAAATACTTTAGGCATCTCCAAGCTTCAGAAATCCATTGCTATTTTAAAATATGCCTTACCACCCTGATAAATAATTGAAAAAAAATCATAGACACGGTGATGAGATTTATTGCTTAAATTAATATGCGATCAAGACCAGTTAATGTCTGTTAGAGGAGAGCAAAGAACGTCAGAGCAGAAGACATTGCATTCAATTGCTTATGCTAACCTTTTTTAAAAAAAAAATGCCTCGCTCACAATGTCATAATAAACTCAAAATGATTGAAGAGGGTTTAATCCTAATGAACAGAAAAACAAGCGGCCACCCACTCTCTTCCATTATTAAAATAAATATTTTGCAGATTTCTCAACATGATGGAAAACACAAGTTCCTAGACGTTAAATACCTCTAGTGGCCAGATTCTGACATAACAATTGAGTGGGAGGGGGGGAAAAGATTGCAACACATCCTCTTTGAAATGAGCCCTTTCCTACACCTTGGGAGAGCCTTTCGGAATTGTTGCAAATGTTGTGAAAGCATCACATTGTGTTTAATTACCCTACTAGTTGGCTCAATATGCCGGTCTAATATTCTAGAGGGAATATTTCAAAAGGGATTTGAAGATGGTAAAAACAACATTTGCCATATCAGAAGAACCTTTGTGTAGTTTTTTTTTATCTACATGGGCTTGATGCAGCAACCCAAATTACATTGGAAGGTTGTTTGTTATGGGAAAAACATATTCACAACTGATTAAAAGACCCTTCCACTTCATTATGCATGCAAATTCACCTACAATAGAACGGCTCTTATAACTCTCTGTTCCTAAACTGAGTTCCTTATAGTAAACACTTTTAAATTTTGTTTGGTGTTAAAAACCTACCACACTGCTTTTCGTGCTATTAGTATTAAGAAATAATATTAAAGAAAGGGAAGGGCACAGTTCCCTCTGTAATCCCAATGAAGGAAATAGATCTATGCAAATATAAATGAAGAAGGAACAATATCTAAATATCAAAAGGCTGAGATTTGGTTCCCATTTGGAGTGGTCTTTTCCAAACACAGAGGCTGCATATACACTATAGACTGAAAGTGGTTCCATATCACTTCAACTCCGTACCACTCAATGTTATGGAAGCCTGGGAGTTCTAGTTTGATGTATGTAAATTGCTCTGAGTCCCCTCGGGGAAAGAGGATGGTCTATAAGTAAAGGTAAAGGTTTCCCCTGACATTAAGTCTAGTTGTGCCTGACTCTGGGGGGTGGTGCTCATCTCCATTTCTATACTGAACAGCTGGCATTGTCCGTAGACGCCTCCAAAGTCATGACTGCATAGAGTGCTGTTACCTACCTGCTGGAGCAGTACCTATTGATCTACTCACATCTGCATGTTTTCATACTAATTTGGCAGAAGCTGGGGCTAACAGCTGGAGCTCACTCCATTCCCCAGATTTGAACTGTTGACCTTTTGGTCAGCAAGTTCAGCAGCTCAGTGGTTTAACCCACTACACCACCAGGTTATATTATTATTATTATTATTATTATTATTATTATTATTATTATTAAATTATTATTATTAAACTATTATTATTATTAAATTATTATTATTATTATTATTATTATTATTATTATTAGGCACCGGCAGATTAGGCTAAAGACCTTGTAAGACTACAACTCCCAGGACTCCATAGCCTTCAGCCATGGCAATTAAAGTGCTGTCAAACTGCATTCATTCTACAGTGTAGATACACCCAGTTAAGCAAGATGCAGCAGTTTAAGAGTGAAAAAGGAACAAGCTCAGCATTCACATAAAAGGGGGCGGAAGGTGTAAGTTTTCCTGTAGACCCAATGAAGCAAACCGGGCAGAGAGGAGTGCAAATGAGTCAAGAATATGAATATCAATTTTGTTCACTCCTTCCCAAATACTTCCAATTCAGAAATGTACAGTTTTGAGAGTGAAAAGGAAAGAAGCCAAGCAGGACACAGACAGCTTGGAAAGGCTTTCAGGGTGAAAAGGAAGGAGCTGCATTAGCCAAATGCAGGTACACAAAGATATGTAATTTATATTGAATAAGAGGAGGGTACAGATCCTCCTGGAGTCCCAATAAAGACATAGATCTACATGAATTTAAATGAAATAGTCCCTCAATCCCTATACTGTACACATCTGGAGCAGTTTCTCTCCAAACAAGGGACCCAAACAGAATAGAAAATTATTTTAGAGTGAAAAATGCAATGAGCTGGGCATTGGCATGAAGGAAGGAGGAGGGCACAAGCAGTCCCAATGAAGCTAATGTGTGAACGAGTGTGCAATAGCCCCTAAATGGTATGGTATCAGAATGAAAAAGGAAGGAGCTGGACACCAGCATTACACAAGGAGGAGGGCACAGGTCCTTTTTGGAGACCCGACAGAGGAAACAGGAGTGGGTCGCAATTGAGTTTTCCGGGCTTCTATGAACATGTTCCAGAAGCATTCTCTCCTGACATTTCACCTGCATCTATGCCAGACATCCTCAGAGATTGTGAGGTCCTCTGCAGGCGAAACGTCAGGAGAGAATGCTTCTGGAACATAGCCATACATCCTGGAAAACTCAAAGCAACTCAGTTATTCCAGGAGTGGGATGCTGTGAGTTTTCTGTGTTGTATGGCCATGTTCCAGAAGCATTCTCTCCTGAAGTTTTGCCTGCATCTATGGCTGGCATCCTCTGAGGTTTTGAGGTCCTCTGCAGGCAAAATATCAGGAGAGAATGCTTCTGGAACATAGCCATACATCCCAGAAAACTCACAGTAAACCAGTGTTTCTAGGAGTGGGTTGCTGTGAGTTTTCCGTGCTATATAGCCACTTTCCAGAAGCATTCTCTCTTGACGTTTCGCCTGCATCTTAGGCATGCATCTTCAGAGGTTGTGAGGTGAAACGTCAGGAGAGAATGCTTCTGGAACATGGCCATACAGCCTGGAAAACTAAACTCACAGCAACCCAGTGATTTTGACAATGAAAGCCTTAGACAAGACATTAAACAGAGGAGTGTAAATGAGTCAGGAATAAAGATCAACACTGCTCACATTGGGAGCAGTCATTTTCAAAGATATCAGGGTGGGGAAAAAACCCAATGAACTGGGCTGAGCATTAGCAACTGATTGGTATCAGTGGGTTGCTGTAAGCTTTTCAGGCTGTATGGCCATTTCCCGGAAGCATTCTCTCCTGACGTTTTGCCTACACCTATTTATTTATTGACAACATTTATATGCAGCCCTTCTCACCTCGATGGGGACTCAGAGTGGCTTACAAAGCATATATACATACAATATATTATATTATTAGCATAGTACAATATCGGTATTATATATTACTATATTGTACTGTACCATTATATTATAATAATATTATTAGTACTATTACATGTAATATAAAATATATAATTATAATACCATATTATTAGTAGTAATAGTATTAACTATGGTAGGCATCCTCAGAGGTCAATATTGGTATCAATATTCCCTGAGTGTTTTCTTTTCTATAGAAAGTCTAGGGAAGGAAAAGAGAGGCAGGGGCTACTCCTATTTTGGGCTGTATGGCCATGTTCCAGAAGCATTCTCTCCTGACATTTCGCCTGCATCTAAGGCAGGCACCCTCAGAGGTTGTGGGGTCTGTATTGGTATCAATATTCCCTGCGTGTTTTCTTTTCCAATCTCAATAGAAAGTCTAGAGAAGGAGAAGAGAGGCAGACACTCCTCCTATTTTGGGCTGTATGGCCATGTTCCAGAAGCATTCTCTCCTGACATTTCACCTGCATCTAAGGCAGGCATCCTCAGAGGTTGTGAGGTCTATATTAGTATCAATATTCCCTGTGTGTTTTCTTTTCTATAGAAAGTCTAGAGAAGGAGAAGAGAGGCAGGGACTCCTCCTATTTTGGGCTGTATGGCCATGTTCCAGAAGCATTCTCTCCTGACATTTCGCCTGCATCTAAGGCAGGCATCCTCAGAGGTTGTGGGGTCTGTATTGGTATCAATATTCCCTGAGTGTTTTCTTTTCAAATCTCTATAGAAAGTCTAGGGAAGGAGAAGCGAGGCAGGGACTCCTCCACTGCGGTCGAACTTCAGCACCAAGGAGCGCTGGACAGCGACAGAAGTTGCTCCGGCTGGATATAAACGACCGCCGTTTGCATGGCATTCTATGCTCAGTGCATGCTATGCTTAGTCTCCTGGCTAATATACAGGTCTGGCTGGGCAGTACAGACAGTATATTGCAATTCAGGGCATTCTCTGGGTCAATGTACTGTCGAAGGCTTTCATGGCCGGAATCACTGGGTTGTTGAAGGTTTTTCGGGCTGTATGGCCATGTTGTAGAAGCATTCTTTCCTGACGTTTCGCCAGCATCTATGGCAAGCATCCTCACAACCTCTGAGGATGCTTACCACAGATGCAGGTGAAACGTCAGGAGAGAATGCTTCTAGAACATGGCCATATAGCCTAAAAAACCTACAACAAACAAACTAGAAAACTAGAATCACTGTTGGGTTGCTGTGAGTTCTTTGGCTGTATGGCTATGTTCCAGAAGCATTCTCTCCTGATGTTTCACCCACATCTATAGCAGGCATCCTCAGAGGTTGTGAGGTGTGTTAGAAACTAGGCAAGTGATATACAGATAGATAGATAGATAGATAGATAGGATATAAAATATTGTATGAAATATATATATATATAGGAAATGGAGATATATATATCCATTTCCATATCCATATATATCCATTTCCATATCCATATCCATATCCCTATCTATCTATCTATCTATCTATCTATCTATCTGTATATCACTTGCCTAGTTTCATTATTCTGTGGAATAATGTCCAGGGTGGGAGAAAACTAGAATCACTGTTGGGTTGCTGTGAGTTTTTGGCTGTATGGCTATGTTCCAGAAGCATTCTCTCCTGACGTTTCGCCCACATCGATGGCAGGCATCTTCAGAGGGTGTGAGGTGTGTTAGAAACTAGGCAAGTGATATATAGATAGATAGATATGGATATGGATATGAAAATGGATATATATATATATATATATATATATGGATATGGAGATATCGATGGTAGGCATCTTCAGAGGTTGTTAGGTGTGTTAGAAACTAGGCAATTGAGATTAGATAGATAGATAGATAGATAGGGATATAGGGAGGATATATAGATAGATAGATATGCATATAATATATATAATATATATATATATATATATATATATATATATATATATATATATGGAATAATGTCCAGGGTGGGAGAAAGAGTTCTATGCTGCCACTGGCCACTTTCATTAGCATTGAATGGGCTTGCAGCTTCCAAGACTGGCTGATTCCTGAATCCTTTGTTGGGAGGTGTTAGCTGGCCCTGATTGTTTCACGTCAGGAATTTCCCTGTTGTTTGAGTGTTCCTGTTTTTTTCCCCTGCATGATAAAATCAGCACCGAAATAAATCGATGCTCAATAAATACTACTGAGCAGTAATGCGGTTCAAAGGTGTATCATTGGCCGTAGATTGCATTCTCTGGGTCCACACTGCAATCTAAAGGTGTATTATTGCATTTTCTGCCATTTAAAGGTGTCTCGTTGGCTTCTTTGCTCCTTTCTCGGCCGTCGGAGGGGATTTGGAGCAACTCGAGGGGAAGAAGTGGGGGTAGGAGGCGGAAAGATGGGAGAGGTCTCCTTCCTTACCTGTCCGTTGAGCAGAGGGAGCTGGGCCACGGCGGAAGGGGGCTCCGGGGCCACCAAGGGCAGGAAAGGGTCGCAGGGCAGCTGCCATCCCGAAACTCCTTGGAGTAAAGGCGGAGGAGGAGGAGGAGGTGAGGAGAGGAGCAACGGAGGAGGGGGCACCACTCCGGCGGAATGGGGGGCGCCCCCGAGGCGAAGGATCCCCCCCGCCGCGCCGGGGAGCATCCAAATCCACGGAGGCGCCGCGGGCTCGGCATTGGCGGTCCAGAGCAGCGGCGGAGGAGGCTGCTGCCGCTTGGCTCTCAGCACCGGGAGCATTCTACATCTTACACGGTCCGATCGCGAGTCCTCCCTCGCCGGGAAGGAAAGCGGCGCCGCAAAGACACACGAGCAACACAAGCGGCGCAGGCAGCAACTGAGCCGGCGGGAAGTCCGCTCCGAGGAGGCGGGGCGTCAAGTAGCCCCGCCCACCGCCTTTCTAGCCCCGCCCACCCCCGCTGCAATGGTCTGCAGGAGCTCCGCCCTCTTTTGTGGCCCCGCCCACCTGGCCACCGCGGCTCCAGGCAAAACAGGAGAGTCCTTCTGTTGCTTCGACGGCGCGGAACTTCTTCGCCCCGCGCATGCGCCTTGCGCCCCCATGCAGAAGGGGAAAAAGCGCGCCAAATCATAAGTGGGTGGGAGAGGGTGGAAGATGAAAGGACCAAGTGTGAGGCCAGTAATGTGTTCTGCCCTGTTGAATTAAAGCAGTCTGACATTACGGGTTCAATGTAGGGGATGATGAGTGAGGCACCAACAAGCTTTACAACGAAGGTGAAAAACCTTGTAAGGCTGCAAATCCAATGAGTCAGGCCCCTTCTACACTGCCTTATAAAATCCAGGTTAGAGAGACCAAATTGCCAATATCCTCTGGATAATGGAGAAAGGCAGGGAGTTTCAGAAACACACAGGCCCGTAGCCAGGATTTCGTTTTTTTTGGGGGGGGGGGCTGAATTTTTTCAGGGGGTCGGGGGGGGGGGGGGGGTGAGTGAAAGAGGGTCTAGCCTAGCAAACCTTTTGTATCATTACCCCAATACCCCCATCATGCATATGGGATATATTGAGCATGGTGATCAGATCATGATAGGAATTAACATAACAGTTTGAATAATGCACCAGGTAAGGCCTTTCGCAGACCACCATGAGAATTTGGGGGGAAGCCCTCAAGCCCCAAAACCAAAGGACACTGCCCACCAAACCCTTCCAGTATTTTCTGTTAGTCATGGGAGTTCTGTGTGGGAAGTTCGGCCCAATTCTATCGTTGGTGGTGTTCAGAATGCTCTGATTGTAGGTGAACTATAAATCCGGGGGGGGGGTTGAGGGGCTTCAGCCCCCCCCCCCCGAAATCTCATGGTGGTTCGTGAAAAAGCCTTACTGGTGCATTATTTAAACTGTTATGTTTATTCATATCATGATCTGATCACCATACTCAATATATCCCATATGCATGGGGGTATTGGGGTAACGATACAAAAGGTTTGCTAGGGTAGTCCCTCTTTCACTCAGACTCAGCCCCCCCCCAACCCCCCAAACATCAAAATCAGCCCCCCCCCGAATCAAAATTCAGAATGCTCTTTGATTGTAGGTGAACTATAAATTCCAACAACTACAACTCCCAAATGTCAAGGTCTATTTTCCCCAAACTCCACCAGTGTTCACATTTGGGCATATTGAGTATTTGTGAGTTTGGTCCAGATCCATCATTGTTTGAGTCCACAGTGATCTCTGGATGTAGGTGAACTACAACTCCAAAACCAAAGGACACTGCCCACCAAACCCTTCCAGTATTTTCTGTTGGTCATGGGAGTTCTGTGTGCCAAGTTTGGTTCAATTCCATCGTTGGTGGGGTTCAGAATGCTCTTTGATTGTAGGTGAACTATAAATCCCAGCAACTACAACTCCCAAATGACAAAATAATTTTTTTGAGTGAAGGACATACATTGGGTTGTTAGGTGTCTTGTGTCCAAATTTGGTGTCAATTCGTCCAGTGGTTTTTGAGTTCTGTTAATCCCACAAACAAACATTACATTTTTTTTTATATAGAACTAAAGCCTTTGACTGTGTGGATAATAATAAATTGTGGCAAGTTCTTGGTGGTATGGGCATACCAAACCACCTTATCTCTCTCCTGAGGAATCTGTATAAGGACCAAGTTGCAACAGTCAGAACCATGGAACAACAGACTGATTCAAGATTGGGAAAGGCGTCCGGCAGAGTTGTATACTCTCACCCAACCTATTCAACTTGTATGCAATGTGCGGGGCTTGAGGAATGCAAGGCTGAGGTGAAAATTGCTGGAAGAAACGTTATCAACCTAAGATATGCAGATGACACCACTTTGATGGCCAAAAGCAAGGAGGAGCTGAGGAGCCTTCTAATCAAGGTGAAGGAAGAAAGTGCAGAAGCTGGGTTGCAGTTAAACATCAAAAAAACTAAAATTATGGCAACAAGAATGATTGACAACTGGGAAATAGAGGGAGAAAATGGAGGCAGTGACAGACTTTGTATTTCTAGGTACAAAGATTACTGCAGACGCAGACTGCAGCCAGGAAATCAGGAGACGCTTACTTCTTGGGAGGAGAGCAATGACCAATCTTGATAAAATAGTGAAGAGTAGAGACATCACACTGGCAACAAAGATCCGCATAGTTAAAGCAGTGGTATTCCCCATAGTCACCTATGGATGTGAGAGCTGCCTGGGCCATAGGGAAGGCTAAGCGAAGGAAGATAGATGCTTTTGAACTGTGGAGTTGGAGGAAAGTGCTGAGAGTGCCTTGGACTGCGAGAAGATCCAACCAGTCCATACTTCAGGAAATAAAGCCCACCTACGCATTGGAGGGAAGGATAGTAGAGCCAAAGATGAAGTACTTTGGCCACATCATGAGAAGAAAGGAAAGCTTAGAGAAGACAATGATGCTGGGGAAAAGGGAAGGAAAAAGGAAGAGGGGCCGACCAAGGGCAAGATGGATGGATGGTATCCTTGAAGTGACTGGATTGACCTTGAAGGATCTGGGGGTGGTGACGACCGACAGGGAGCTCTGGCGTGGACTGGTCCATGAAGTCACGAAGAGTCGGAAACGACTGAACAAATGAACAACAACAAAATTATTTTTATTTTATTTCAAATATTTGTACCCTGCCATTCTCTACCCCTGAAGGGGGACTCAGGACGGCGTACAGCCGGCAACAGTTTGATACCCCCATATACAACAGACAAAACAACAGTTACATAATAAGTAAAACATTAAAGGCATAAAGGGAGAGGAGACAAAGTGAGACAAAGAGTGAAGAGAATGAAAGGAAAACAAGCCAACAAAAGAGCCAGTTATCTTTGAGCCAGGGTGCAACTAAAGACTTGAAGACCCTCTGGCCATGTGCAGCGTGCATGTCCCCTTTTCACCCCCATTCACTCTGCAGCATGGAATGATATTTGAGCCTTGCTTTTTTCAAATCCAAATTCTAAAAGGGGGAAAAGGGGGGGGGTGAATATGGGAACTAGAGGAGTGGGAAAGAGGCAAGTAGCTGAAAAAAAGCCCTTGATTGCAAAGAAAAGAAAAAGGAGGGATGAAGTGAGAGAGAGGAGAGGAAGGTGATGCAGTCTGGGATAAGATTAATTCGGCTGTACATAAAGTTTCAAGGGCATCAAAGAAACTCAAAGGGAAGGGCCAGAGTTATTCAAACATGACTAATGCATTTAAAGGATTTTCCAAAGGCAGACCCAATGCTGCACGTCCCCCAAAAAGTGTGATGCTCATCTCTCAGTGGACTGAGAACAGGAAAGATAGGGCATGCACATAAGAGAATGTGTGTGGATAAAGAGAGTGCATCTACACTGTAGAATTAATGCAGTTTGATGCCATTTTAACTGTAGTGGTTAAAAGTAATAGAATACTGTGAACTGTAGCTTGGTAAGGTTACGGAACTTGTGCAGCTACAATTCTATTTTTTTTTTTTTTGTCGTGTCAGGAGTGACTTGAGAAACTGCAGGTTGCTTCTGGTGTGAGAGAATTGACTGTCTGCAAGGACGTTGCCCAGGGGATGCCGAGATGTTTGGATGTTTTATCATCCTTGTGAAAGGCTTCTCTCATGTCCCCTCATGAGGAGCTGGAGCTGACAGAGGGAGCTCATCCGTGCTCTTCCCCGGATTCAGACCTGCAACCTGTTGGTGTTTAGTCCTGCCGGCACGGGGGTTTAACCCCCTGTGCCTCCGGGGGCTCCACAATTCTCATGATCCCATAGTAATGAGCCATGACTGTTAAAGTGGTGTCAAACTGCATTAATTCTGCTGCGTAGATGCACTCCTAGGATCAAGTCTTTAGTGAACCACAAAACTCCCTGCATGGCCTTAAGCAACAACAAGAAGAATACTTATTACAGTCCACAGACCCATCAGTGAACAAACAGTCATTAATAAATTCTCCCATCTCATTGCCCAAAATTAATATACATGGTTTCAAGTAATATCTCTATCCGAGGTTAGTTTCTTTCTCAGCCTTGTTGCTACTGGCGTTAAGCTATTCATTCTCTCCCACCCTGACATACCTCACAAGGCAGTTGGGAAACAAAACTGAAATGAAGGATGAAAACCGGTCATTGTTATTGTAACCTCATGTGAATAAAAGGTGGAAGTGTAAAGATAAACCAAGGCACCCCCAGTGGCACAATGGGTTAAAGCACTGAGAGACAGTCACTGCTGACTGAAAGGTTGCAGGTTTCAATCCGGGGAGTGGTGTGAGCTCCTGCTATTAGCCCCAGCTTCTGCCAACCTAGCAGTTCGAAAACATGCAAATGTGAGTAGATCAATAGGTACCACTCCGGCAGGAAGGTAAAAGTCCTGCATGCAGTCATGCCAGGCACATAACCTTGGAGGTGTCTATGGACAACGCCAGCTCTTCAGCTTAGAAATGGAGATGAGCACTAACCCCCAAAGTTGGACACAATTGGACTTATTGTCAGGAGAAATCCTTTACCTTTACTTTAAAGATAAATAATACATTGTAGATGACCTAAAATAACACTGATGAGAATCTCTTCGCTTCCCCCTAGAGATAATGTGTGAGTTTCCTTTGGGGTAGTTATATCAGAAGTTCAAATAGATTTTTCTGTCAACTGCTTCATAATGTCCTGATTCCAATGCAATTGATTTTTCAACTGAGCATGCCTTCACATTTCCAACTAAGCATGCTTCTGGCATAAGAAATAGCACATTGCCTATGGAGTCTACGTGCTACTGACTTGCCGCCGGAGGTGCAGAGGAAGTGGGAAATGTAAAGAATTCCTCCGGGACTCCCTTGTTTTAGACCGCTCTATATAGAAGTAAGAAACTTTAGTTTTACTCAGTCTTCATTTTACTAAAATGTGGTTGGATACACAACCTGGAACCCTGTGTTTGATGAGATAGTTCATCTAGAATACGA